ACTCGGGCGACCAACTTCGGAGTCGATTGTGCCACTGGACGCCCGATTCGTTATCCTGGCAAAGGCAGTGCCAAGATGAAAGAGAGGGTCTTGTCTGCTCTCAGACAAACCAAGTGGCTTTCTTAACTGGATTCTGTTTTGGGTTGCAGGTTCTTCAAAGTTTTCGCCGCTGGGCCGTTTCATGGCGCCGCTTACGGCTCCGATGTTTTTTTGTGTCTCGGTCAGGGGTTTTCTCGACTTCAGACGCATGGCCATGTCTTGTGTGAAGCCCGCGTCGCAGGGTAGATCACTTGCCGTGCTCAGTCTGCTCGAAGGAGACCCGCGCTGGCGCGCTTCCTGCGCGCCCATCATCCGGTGGGCCCTGGAGATTTGGACCCTTCAAACTAGGGCCATTTCCTGTTTGCTTTTTCCTCGGCCGATCTTCGCGCCAGCGTGCAGGCGGTTTTTGGCCGCGACGACCTGTCCTGGACCGAGGTTGCTGGGCGTATATCGGCTCTTCGGATGTTCCTGCGTCGGTCGGGTTGGAGCATGCTTAATTTCCGCCAGCGTCGGCGACTTTGGTCGAGAGATCTCCCTTGCTCTGTCTTCTGACAAGCTCGCGGCGCATTCTCGCAGGGAGGCGGTGCTTAGGTGTCTTGAGCATGACTGTCGCGATAAATTCGGTCTCGGATGCCGACCGGGCCGGGGCGCCCCCGAAAAGTTGCTCGCGTCCGAGATAGTTTCGGCCCTCGAGAAGGGTGTGGTTCGAGCACTCTCGACCAGCGCCTGCTGGACTGCTGGCGACGCCGCGGGCCGCGGCTGCCAGTTGCCCCCCCCCCCCCCCCCCGCGCACTCCGTGGCGAGGCCGGGGGCGCCTGGTTCCACCGCGTCTACGTTTGTCCTTGCGCGGAGGAGCAAATAGATGAGCACGTTCCCAAGTGGGTGCAATGTGCAGCGAGGGGGGCCGACCAGTCTGATCCTCTGATTATTTGCCTGTTCGCGCACAGGGCCATGAGAGGTCCTGGAGACATACGTCCGCCGCCTCTGACCGACGCTGGCGTCGTGATCCACTGTCGCGCTGACCCGCTGCCGGGCCCTCCCCCTCCGTCTGGCGGCTCCTGGGGGCGCAGTTTCATGGGCGGTCTTTGTTGAATTAAGGAACTCTCCAGGGCCAGCTAGGCCTCGGCGGCAGTTTCCGATTCCGGAGAACGGCTGGGGGTCCTGAACGGGCCTCTGTGGGCCCCTTGGCCGCAGATGCCGCGAGCGGCTGCGTTCGGTGCGCTGGCGTTGTGCGCTCTGTATGCCGCCGCCCCTTCACATTGTTATTCCGATTGTAGTAATGATGCGCTGCTTCAGCCGCTGGGCGGAGGAGACGCCATCGCTGCGAGGCGGCTATGCGCGGGTTTTGCGACGCAGGCCAACCGCGATCTCGGCACCCCCTGCTCTGCGCTCCACAAGGTGGAGGCTCGCAGGGATGAGGATGAAGGCCGGGTTTCGGCTGGGGAGCGGCTTCGGGGGAGGGGTAAAAGGCGCGCTGATGTAGCGGCGAGGGGAGGGGCTGAGCTTCGCCCTCGGCAGCCGCCAGCTGATATGGATAGGATTGCTAATCAGGTCAAGATTGCCCGTGCAGCCCTGCTTGGCGAAATCGAGCTGGTTGGCCTCTGGCCATGGGCCTGAGGTCGAGTTTCGTGGCCTTGAGCGCGCCAGGCCGTTCTGGGCCGAGAAGTCCACGACGCTGCAGCTGGCCCATGACTTGGCTGAGACGGATTTGGGATTGCGTTCTCGCGTTTGCCTCAAGGACCCCAAAACAAAACCCATGCCGTCGGGAGGGGCCTGAATTTTTGGGCCGCAGCAGGCTTGACCAAGGTAAACACCTTACGACGCCTCCGTTAAGACCAGGACCCTGGCAAGAAGGATATGTTCGTCCACGTTGATCTATTCATCCAACTGTTGTACTTTGTTGGGGGAATGTATATGTGTGGTGTCACAGCGCATAGGTATGTGACTGTTCATCCTGCGGCCCAGACCTTGCGGTCAAAAGTAGAGGAGTATGTGCGTGCGTGAGTGTGTTTGTGTGTGCGTGCGAGACCATGAGCGGTCTGTGACTGCTCGGCCGGGCGTAGACGCACTGCCTGCACCCGACTTTCTACGCCCCGTCGCCGCGCGCGGGGCCGCGACGTCAAAAAGGGTATGCGTGTGTGTGTGTGCGTGTGTGTGTGTGTGTGTGTGTATGTGCGTGTCTGTCTGTTTGTGTGTCTGTCTGTCTGTATGCCTGCAGGCATGCATGCCTGCCTGCCTGCCTCCCTGTTTGTCTGTTTGTCTGTGTTTCTGTTAGTGTGTCTGTCTGTTTGTATGTCTGTCTGGCTGGTTAGCAAACTGTTGAACTCGTTTAGCCTTCTTTTTCTGATAGTGGAAACGTCCGGGGGCCTCTGAGGACGGGTCGGGGGGCTCCAGTTCCTGCGGATCCCTGCCATGGCGGTCGCGCGTGGTCGAGTTCGTGACGAACCCTTGTCGTTGTTGTCTGCTTCATCCTCCCCGTCCACCTCCTCCCACTCCATACTCCAAGTTACTTGATAAGCGTCGGGGGGGCGTCGCCCCCGCCGACATCCCCACATCGACCCCCGTCGCGGGCAGCCACCGCGCGCCGAAGGCGCTCCGACCCCCGTCGCGGCGCGACGACGAGGCGAGTTTGACCCTTGTCGGGGGGTACCCCCCCACGCTTACTAAGAACCCAGAGTGCTTTCCGTGGTGCGAGGGCCACGCACGTGGACAGGGTCTTCATCCGTTCTCGCAACGGGGTGGTTTTGTTCACGGCGTGGTGGTCAGGCCGCTCACAAAGACTGGGACATTCGCAAAGGATTGAGACGTTCGCAAAGCTAGCAGTGGAGTGTCTTTGCTTCTGGGGTGGCGGGTGAACAACAAACTTCCTTGTTCCATCTGCCTGCTCATTTTTCTGTTTATTATTAGTCTTCTTCTTATTATTATTCGTATGCTTGCTTTTCTTTTTTAAATATTAATGTTAGAATGGTTGTTGTGATTCCTCTTCTTGTTAGTATTATTGTTTTTTAGCTGTGTCTGGAGGGGAGCCCCCGGCGCCCAGGCTGGGGACCGGGGGCGGGGCATGGACGTTGGCGGGGGTCGCGAGGGCCGTGGCCGAGGGGCCCCCAGGGGTTCGTCGTTCCCTCTTCGCCCCGCGAGGAGTCCTGCGGTATCCGAATTGCATGTCGTCCGCGTCCTTTTGTCCGAATTGCAGTCCGTCCGCTTCGATCTCTCGCGACGAAAGGGAAGGGGACGAAACGAAGGAGGGCACATCGAAAGAGGACGAAACGAAAGCGGACGAAATGAAAGTCCACCGCTGGTACAGCAGGGACGCGCACCAAGGAAACCGCGTGCCTTTCGACGGGGAGTGCCTTGGGCTCCTTCGCCGTGAGCGCGCTGCGCGGTGACGTTCCGCGGGGGGGCGTAAGAAGCTGCAGCATTCGAGGTGCCGTGGGTCCCCCCCTCCCGCCCCCCCCCCCCCGAATGTCGCGTCGTGCGAGGATTTCCAGGTTGGGTTTTTGCGAGGGTGTCTTGCGGCCGCGTCCGCACTGTACGGGGACAGCGTAGGGGGACGTGGTGAGGGGGGGGGCAGGAACAGGACGCGAGGAGGAGGAGGAGGAGGAGGAAGAGGAGGAGGAGGAGGAGGGTCAGAGAGGAGCGGAGAGGAGGAGTCCCAAGTTTCACCACACTCGCTATGCAACTGTGATGTCAGCTCAGCGGTGGGGGGGCCTGTCAGCAGGTTGTTGCACTCCCGACGTGCAAGCAAGGAGTAGCACTGGCAATGATTTGGTCAAGAACCTTGTCTTAACGTGTCGCGCCGCCGTTTCTGGGCTACCACGCTCCGGCGCGACACGCTAAACGTGTCCCAGTCCCCAAGCGTCAACATCCCGAGCATTTCCCAGCCTCCCGCCCAGGGGGACGGAGCGAGACGCCATCCGCTCGCAAGGCATGGCGTGTCGCCTGGGCCACCGCCGCGACACGCCAGGCAAGAAATCCCGACCGTAGTTGCAATGCAGTAGCAGTGGTATTTGGGACAGTTGATTGGGCCTGCTGCTGACGCCAGGGATCGAAAGAGGCATCGACGATAGGGCACCAAACGGCAGGGAACCATACACGTGAAACCGTCGGCACCAATCATGGGGCACCGAGCGGGAACTGCCGATTGCGGCCCGCAGGGAACTGTAGGGCATCAAGCACAGGGCACCGATCGGGAACGGCCGACTGCGACCCACAGGGAAGCAAAGCATGGGGCACCAACAACAGGGCACCGAGCTGGATGGGCGGACTTCGACCGACGTCAGGCACCAACCTGCAGGGCACCGAATGGGAACGGCTGGCTGCGGCCCACAGGGAACCATAGGCAGGAAACCATAGAGCACCAACCATAAAGCACTGAGTGGGACGGGCGGATTGCAATCCCCAGGGAGCCATGGACTGGGAACCATGGTGCACCATCAATCATCGGGCACCGATTGGGAACGGCCGATTGTGGCGGATAGGGCCAGTTCCGTAGAGCCCGAGTAACACCTTTAAAAAACCAACGTTGTTAGGGGGATTGTAGCCTGCACATGTTCTGAATCTCGTCGCAGACTCACCAGACTCAACCAGTGGGTTTTCGGCAACAGGCTCTACCGAGAGACCGACCGTGCGAAGCAATGAGCTCCAACAATTTCCCCTTACCCATCGGCCTTGTATCGGGGTGCCCCCAGTGCCAACCGTCATCATCGTCAGAACCAATCCCAACCCCACCGGGACAATGTAGGTGTACCCTCCCAGCGTAACCCTTTTAGGTGGGGATGGGCTCTTCGAAAACAGAAGGAGACGGCATCCATCCTCACCTGGGGATAGTAGCTTGCCCAGCGGGGCAAAGTTTCCCCCGGTGGGGGTGGGATTGTTTCATCTTGAGCAATCGGGCGGTTTTCTTGGCAGAGGCATTTCCTCGTCGTCCTCCTCGTCCTGCTCCTCGGCTCCCCTGCCCGAAGGCGGACCCAACACCCGACGGGGCCCTCGTGCACCACGCTTTGTCCGACGTCATGACCCCCACGTCATCCGACGGGGCGGTACAGGCAGCCGCCTTTGCATATGCTTGTCTGTCCTTGCGCGGGTGGGACAGGGGAGGCGGATGAGGAGGAGGAGGGGCCCCGACGTCTCGTGCCGTTGCGTTCTTCCTTGCTCTCCGCGGCCCGTCTTCATGACGACGTCCTGACGCCCTGCCGGTACGCTGTTTGTGATGCCACCCGGGTGCCTTGCGCCCTGCCGCGCCAAGGAGCCTCGGGGACGTCGAACAATGAACAACTAGTGATCGTTTTCTTATTGATTGTTTTGCCGATCGGCGCGGACCCTCGCAGCACCCCTCCCCCCCCATGGAGTAGATCTTGGCTGTTCTTGGAGCCTGCTTCAGGCAGGTGGAGTGTCTCCCCCACGGGACGCACTGCTGCTAACAGTCGCACCCCTTTTTTCGCTCAATGCCGAAACGCCGAATGAAAAAACGCTCACCAAACGTAGGTCCAGAAGTATTTTGATGGAGCTCTCGGAGGACTGGCGGCGCCTCCGGCTGATCCAAGAAGTCCACGCGGCCCTCCGCAAGTGTATGTGAATGTTGCTCCTTCTGGTCATACTTACTTCCCTCGGGCTTCTCGGGGTGCGGGGGCTCGTGCCTACTCCGCGCGCGTGCCCAGTGTCCGGACTGTCCCTCCATGGCGCACGCGGTTTGCGAAGGAGTCATGAAGACCCACTCATCGTCTCCCAGACCGCTCGCTCTGGTACCGAAACATGCATGCAGATCTGCTCGTGCCTCCTCCGAGCGATGGCAAGGCGTGAGGAAAGTCAAAGGGCCCAACGTCGACTCTGTTGGCCTGACAGCGCAGGACAGACAAATTTCATGGGCCCGAGATGACGCAGCCGACAGAGCGGCCAAGCAGGGTGCCTCGATCTAGCAGCCAAGCCAGGTGGGAAAGTGTCAGGCTCACCGCCTCGTCTTCCCAAAGCCGTTCTGCGTGCTGCTTCGCAGCAGCTGCGCTACCCAAGTTGCCGAAGCCAGAGTTTCACCCTCAACATCTTGATGAGAAGTCCCGTTCATCACAGTATTATCTAAGAGGTGCACCCTACATACGATATGCGGCCACAGGAATGGAGGCCCGAAAATGCCCAAGAACGCCGGATGCTTGAAGACGTTTCAAAAGGTGTATGCTCATCTACAGGGAGGAGGGTTTCAGAGAGAGAGAGAGACAAGCAACAAACAAACAATATAACACAAACAACAGCAACACAGGAAAGAGAGAACGAGAGAGGGATGTAGAGCGATATATATATATAGAGAGAGAGAGAGAAGCAAAGAGATAGAGAGAGAGATGGAGAGGGAGCTTTCTCTCTCTCTCTCTCTATATATATATATATATACATAAGTATACACATGTACATATATATGTTATATACAGAGACAGAGAGAGAAGCACCAAGAGAGAGGGAGAGAGAGAGAGAGAGACAGAGAGAGAGAGAGAGGGAAATAAGGAGCACCGATACTGGGTGGATTTGGACAACAGGGCCACAGCCAGCGAGTGGGCAGAGTAGTGAGCTGGGCCAAAAGAAGGGATGGAAAAGAGAACAAAGGGGAGAGCGGGAGAATGCTGGACAGAGGTGGAGGAGAGCCACGCAGTTGTTGCGCGTGGGTTCGCAGGAGTCCGCGAAGCTGGAGTCGCACGTGAGCACAAGACTGCCATCGCCAGTGGTGCCACCGCGCCTCTGGCAGAGGATGGTGAGGAAGAAGGATGGCGGGAGATGAGCAGGGAGGAGCAGGAGGGGCAACCGGAGGCGGAGGCAGAGGAGGGACGAGGGCGGACGTGGGTGGAGGAGAAGGGGAACGAGAAGGGTGGATGGCGGGGAGGAGGAGGAGGCAGGAGCGACGGAGGAGTCACCAGGAGGGCGGCGATGGAAGAGAGGACGAGGCAGGAAGAGGGCGGAGATCCCGGGCTTCATCCAGGCTGATCTGGCGTAATGGCCCTTCCATCGGCCTATATGGCCGTTAATCTGTCTGACGAGAACCTCCGAGCCAGGAGCTAAAATTGCTTTAGTCGGAAAATGACATAAACTTAAACTTGTCGGCGCTCCGCGCGCATTTCTTGGATCAGCGCAGATCCAAGAAATCCGCGCGGAGCGCCAACAGTTTATGTTTATACCGTGTTTTCTTCTTCTTCTTCTATTTAGGTCTCCCAGATGGGTTCCAAGCAGATGGGGTCGGCGGAGTGCGCCGCATCGCCGAGGCATCGACGATGCGGCTCGATGTGGAGCCAGAGCTTCTGCGCGCCGATGGTGCCGATGCATCGTCGGCGTCGCAGGTGCATCTCCGATGTATCGACGATGCATTGGCGATGCGGCGCGATTCGTCGACCCCATTGATCGGCCACTCGCAGAGGGGGGCAGGGGGAGGGGATAAGGCTTCTTAGAAGCAATCTCTGGTTCTTCAAGGCGCGGGCCTTGTCTGTGGATGTAAGGCCGGCGCCTTCTGAGAAGCGGCCTCTTCTGAGATGCCTCCACCCCATTCGGGGCTACACGAGGATCAGGCCGTTCCAGAGCGTTTCGGAGCTCCCACAGAGCGATCGAAACGCTCTGAGAAGGCCACGACGCCCGAGACGTTTTCCAGAACCGCCGGACCTCGGAGATTCTCGATCTATCCTCACCCCATCTTATCCTCGTCCTGGCTTCGTCTTACATCTGGGATGCCTGTCGACGGTGCATCGCTGCTTCCGGATCGATGTTCCCCCCCCCTCTCTTGAGTTGGTCCCCCTCGCCAGACGTTTCCTCTCGCCGTCGGGCAGCGCCCAGCGGGGTGGGTGGGCCACCACCAGGGAGATCAGTGGAAGTCGAGGATCGCGAAGGAGGAGGAGCTGCTGCTGCTGTTGCTATCTGCATCGATGCCCGGGTAAGCTAGCATAACTACCTATTTGCGGGCAACGCAGAGCTTGGTTATACATATGCACAAATCTATATGTATATACATGTTTACAAATGTTTGCGTCTACATATATTTATATATAAACATATATATGCAAATTTAGACATATGAATATGTGTATCTATATATAAAAATATGTACATATAGATGTATGTGCGTAGGTAGTTGGGTATATGTACATGTGTATGTGTATGTATGCATGCATGTATGTATGTATGGGTGTATGTATGCATGCATGCATGTATGTATGTGCGTGCATGCATGCATGGGTGCATGTGTTTATGCGTGTGTGCATGGTGTGTATGTGTGTATGTGTGTATGCATGCATGCATGCATGTATGTATGTCTGCATGGTATGTATATGTGTGTATGCGTGTGTGCGTGTATGTATGTGTGGTTGTTTGTATGAATGTGCGTATGTATGTATGTATGTTTGTATGAATGTATGTGTATACATGTAGGTATGTATGCATGCATGTACAAATGTGTGTATGTATGTATGTATGTATGTATGTATGTATATAGGTATGTCTGTCTGCCTGTCTGTATGTCTGTCTGCCTGCCTGTCTGTCTGTATGTGTGTATACATGTATGCCTTTATGTGTCTAGGTATGTATGTATGTAGGTATGTTAGTGTGCAGGTATGTATGTATGTATGTATGCATGCATGCATGCATGCATGCATGCATGTATGTATGTATGTTTGTATGTATGTGTGTATGTATGTATGTGTGTATGTACGTATTTGTGTATGTACGGAAGTATATCAATATACTTGTATATGTATTGTTGTCTGTCTGGATGCATGTCTGTCTGTCTGCCTGTCTGTCTGTCTGCCTGTCTGTCTGTCTGTCTGTATGCATGTCTGTCTGTCTGCCTGTCTGTCTGTCTGTCTGTCTGTCTGTTTGTATGTATGTATGTATGTGTGTGTATGTGTGTATATAAATGTATATATGTACCCCCGCAAGATGCCCCGACGCACGGGGCCAGGGCCCCGAGCGCGCATGGGGGCCCCGAGGGACCCTGGCCCTCGGGCAGGCCCTGCAGGGCCTCCGAGACCGCTCCCAGAGCACCGAGGAGGGGCCGTGGAGCCCCCAGACTGCCCCAGAGAGCTCCAAGACGCTCCCGGAAGCCCGCGGGGGACTTCGACCAGCCTCTCCAAGACAGCCCAGATAGCCACGTGGCCCAAGATGGGCTCCAGACCGCAAATACGCAGCCCAAGAGGCCTCCAAGAGGCCTCAAGAGAGTTCCGAGAGGCGTCCCGAGAGAGCCCGAAGAGGCCCAAATCGTTGATTTCCACAGTTTTTGTTCCTATGTGTTTCGCCTTCTCGCGTTCTCGAGCTTCTGACGCTCCACGACGACCGACGACGCCCCCAAGACCGGCCCAAGACCGCCGAAGAGGCCCCCAACAGACCCCCAAGACGGCCCCAGGGAGCCTGAAAATTGCCCGGGAGGAGCCTCAGACGGCCCAAGAGAGCCTCAGGACAGGCCCAAGCTGGGCCACAGAGCGGGAGCGGGAGGCCCCAAGGCGCTCCAAGACGGCCCAGATGGCCCCAATGTGGCCCCAGATGGGCCCAACACGGCCAATACACAGCCCAAGAGCCCTCCAAGAAGGCCCAAGAGAGCTCCGACAGGCGTCCCGAGAGAGCCAAATACTTGATTTCTGGTAGTTTTTTCAATGTCTTTCGTTTTCTCGCGTTCTCGAGCTTCCAACGCTCCAAGACGGCTGGATACGCCCCGAAGATCGCCCCAAGACCGCCGAAGAGGCCCCCCAAAGAGCCCCAAGACGGCCTAGGAGAGCCTGAAGACTGCCCAGGAGCAGCCCAAGACTGCCCAAGAGAATCCCAGGAGAGGCACAAGATGGGCCCCAGATCTGGAGAGGGAGGGCCCAAGGCGCTCCAGGACGGCCCAGATGATCCCAACGTGGCCCCAGAGGAGCTCAAGACGGCAAACACAGCCCAAGAGGCCTCCAAGAGGCCCCGAGAAAGCTCCGAGAGACGTCCCGAGGTAGCCCAAAGAAACCCAAATCATTGATTTGCATTGTTTTGTTTGATGTTTTTCGCCTTTCGCGTTCTCGAGCTTCCAATGCTCGAAGACGGCCGAGGGCGCTCCCAAGACCGCCCCAAGACCACCGAAGACACCCCCAAAAGAGCCCCAAGACGGCTCCAAAGACCCTGCAAACTGCCCACGAGGAGCCCTAGATGGCCCAAGAGGCCCCAGGACAGGCCCAACATGGGCCACAGAGCGGGGGCGGGAGGCCCAAAGGCGGTCGAAGACGGCCCAGATGGCCCGGGCCCCCCCCATCCGTCCCTCCTTCCCTAGCGCCCCCCCTTGCTTCCATTCCCTCCTCTCTCATCATCCTCCCCTCACCCCTCTGCTTTCGTGCTCCTCCCTCCTCTCCTGGGACGGCCCCGCCAGAGCGCCAGACAAGCCCCGCCAGAGCGAGCGGGGCATCGCTATACCGCATCAGTTCACAAGTTGCTTTGCCCTTCTCAGAGCGAGAGGGGTGTTGTTATACCATATACAGACTGTTTTGTCTTGCTCCTCCCACCGCACCCGCCCCGTCAGAACGCACGGGGTGTGGCTTTACCATAAATGTTCCTCAGGTTTTGTGCTCCTCCCCCCCTCCTGGACAAGCCCCGCCTGAGCGCCAGGGAAACCCCCGCCAGAGAGAGCAGGGCACCCCTACATCATATTCTTTCACGCTATTTTTGCTTTTCCCACCCTTGCAGGGCGGACCCGCCCGAGCGAGCCAGGTGTGGCTGTACTATACAATTTCTCCGGTTTCGCGTACCTCCCTCAACTCCTGAAAAGGCATCGCCAGAGCGCCAAGAATGTATCGCCAAAGGCCCCGTCAGAGCTCCAGGCAACCCCACACATGGGACTTGCCAGGCAAATCATTGAGCATCCCCCGTGAGCCCGGACCTTCTGTTCCCACGGGTGCGATTCTCGCCGGCATGAATTTTGGCGTCCAGCACACAGAAGTTCCCCCACTCCCATGGACGGATTCGACAACAATTGATTGCATAGACCGGCATTGGTGACCAGGACATATGCGCGCGCCCTCTGCAGATACCTGACACTTGAACGACCGGTGAAAACGAGAAGCTCGGAACACAAGTAATAAGGACAAGCAGGCCAGCGCGCTCCCACGCGCGCGCAACGATGCCCCGAACCAACCCCAACATCTGGAGCCGGCAGATGTTTGCGCGATCGTGTATGGGAGAGCGAGCAGGTGTGCAAAAGTAGTGAGTGTCACGACGGGGCAGAGCGGAAGTGAAAGTGGAGAAGAAAACGCAGTTCGGCAAACCAAACAAAGGCGGCAAGTATGGAAGGTGCGTATGATTGTATACATGTGTATATGTTTGTACGTATGCAAGAATGAATGAATGAATTGTTGTGTAGGTGTGTGTGCATGTAGATGTGAATGTATGACTGAACGTACGACTGGATGGTTGTATGTGTGTGCATGCCTGTATGTGTGTATGTACGTATGTATGGATGCATGCATGTGTGTAAACATGTATGTGTGTATGCAAGAGTGTATGCATGCATGCACGTATGTATGTATGCATGTGTGTGTTTGCGTATATTTGTATGTATGTGTGAATGTATACATACGCGTGCATATCCGCATGCGTGGATGACTGTATGTATGTGCGGACGTGTGTGCGTGCGTGCGTATGTATGCATGTGTGCGAATGTGTATGCAGTGTGCCTGAATGTGTATATGTGTTTTTTGTGCGTTGGCCGATGTATGAATGGATGCATTGTTGTATGGATGTATGTATGTATGGCTGCGCGTGTGTATGAATGTGTGTAAAATTGCATGCATGCGTGAATGGATGCACGACTATGTGTGTAAGTATGGATGTATGTCTGTTTGTGTGTATGTATGAGTGTATGTGCGTATGTATGCATGCATGATTGTTTGTTTGCGTGTACGTATGTATTATGTATACAGTAGTGTGTATGCATGCATGTATGTAGTTGCTGGTATTTGTTGAATGTATAGACGGACGGATTGGTGCATGTGTGGATGTACATATGTATGTTTGTATGTGATGCGGTGTGTGTATGCAAATGTGCATGCGTGTATGTGTGTCTGTCTGTCTGCCTGTCTGTCCGGCTGTCAGTCTGTCAGTCTGTCAGTCTGTTTGTTTGTCTGCCTGTATGCGCTTGTCTGTTTGTCTGCCTGTCTGCCTGTCTGTTTGTACGCGCCGCCAAGTCTACCTGCCGCACTGCCCCGCCCGAGCGGCAGGCGCATGCCGACGCGCGGGCCCCGCCGGCAGCCGCGGGGCCGCCGCGCAGGGACGCGGCGCCCGCTCTCGCCGCGCCGCGTTGGTTGCCATCCTCCCGCCTCCTCCCTCTTTCCTCCTCCCTCCTCCTCCCTCCTTCTTCATCCTCCTCCCACATCCTCGCTCCTCCACCTTCATCCCAAACCTGCTCCTCCCTCCTCCATCCTACTCCTCCATCCTACTCCTCCCTCCTCCTCCTCCTCCTCCTCCTCCTCCTTCTCCTCCTCCTCCTCCTCTTCCTTCTCCTCCTGATCCCCCTTTCTCCTCCTCCCTCCCCCTCCTCCTCCTCCCCCTCCTCCTCCTCCTCCTCCTCCTCCTCCTCCTCCATCCTCCTCTTATTCTTATTCCTTATTCGAATATACTCTTACTCCCCCCTCTGGCCGGCCGATAGGGGTTCCATCCGGGCCCTCCCATCCTTCATGTAAAAAATTACCCCAGTGCGACCCCACCTAGAAGTTGGAGCCCCGAGGAAAGCAGCATTCGTTCCTATGCTGTGCTGTGCTGCGCTATGCTATGCTATGTTATGCTATGATATGCTATGCTATGCTATGCTATGCTATGCTGCGCTATGCTATGCTATGCTGGGTTATGCTATGATATGCTATGCTGCGCTATGCTATGCTACGCTATGCTATGCTGCGCTCTGCTATGCTAAAGCTCAGCGAAGCTAAGATGCAGGTAAACTAAGCTAATATTAAACTGAGCTAAGATGAAGCTACGATACATTAAGAATACATAAGCTAAGCTAAGATGAAATAAACAACGCTAAGCTAAGGGGACGTAACTGGGGGAACCGCGGGGCGGATACTGGGGGAACCGCCCGGGGCACTATCCACTGCCAGGCACCTTTAAGCCCAGAGAGTAAGAACTGTTCTAGGCAGAGCCTAGGTAGGGAACAATACACCGTCGTCGTGCTTTCTCTCAACAAGGCCTTTCTTGTCGTCGACGATTGCGAAGTGCGTAGCAGGAATAGGATGCGGCGCACATCGCGCGCGGCCGTCAATCCGGGCCCTCCCATCCTAACCCTAAAGAATTAATACAAAGTTGTCGTTTTTCTCTCAACATGGCCTTTCTTGTCGCCGACGATGCGAAATGCGTAGCAGGAGCGGGACGCGGCGCTCATCGCGTGCGGACGTCTGGGGCAACCCCAAGCTGGAGTGGCCATCCTACCTGCCAAAAACTGTACAAAGTCGACATGCTTCTTCTCAGTGGGGATTTTCTTGTCGTCGGCTTGGCGAAATGCGTGGCAGGAAGGGGGCGCGGTGCACATCGCGAGCGACAGGGCGAAATGTCGCTCTCGCTTCGGCGCCGCGTGCATGTTTTCCGAAAGTTGCGCTCCCTCTCATGCGCGGCGCACATGTTTCGCTCGCCAATTCGTCGAGCGCCTAGTGCCCCCCGGGGCCTCCCAGGGTCTCCCGGGACAACCTGGGGCTTCCCGGGGCTTCCCCAGGGCCTCGTGGATCCGCCTGGAGCCTCCTGATGCATCCTGGGGCTTCCTGGGATGCCCCAGGGGCTTCCTGACACTTCCTAGGGCTTCCTGAAGTCTCCTGGAATTACCTGGGGCTTCCTGGGCCCTCCTGAAGCCTCCTGGGGCTTCCTGGGGGTCGCTAGGGCTTCTCCTGAGACCTCATGGGGCTGCATCAGCTGTGGCAAACCACCTTGCCGCTCTGATTTCGGTCCGAACTTGCGCAAGCACTGTTTCTTATGTTGTGGGAGGGAGGGTGGGAATGGGCATACCATGCTTGACTCGCTCGAGCTGGCTAGCTTGACTCCTTCTCCTACTCCTCATCATCATCCTCCTCATCGTCCTCCTCCTCCTCCCCCTCCTCTTCGTCCGCCTCCCTCCTCCTCCCTCCTCCCTCCTCCTCCCTCATCCTCGCTCATCCCCTTCCTCTTCCTCCTCCTCCCTCGCCCTCCCTCCTCCTCCTTCATCCCCCTCCTCCTCCTCCTCTTCCTCCTCCTCCTCCTCCTCCTCCTCCTCCTCCTCCTCCCTCCTCATCCCGCCTCTTCTCTCATCCTCCCCCTCCTCCTCCCTCCTCCTCCTCCTCCTCCTCCCTCTCCTCGTCCTCCTCCTTCCCTCATTCTCATCCTTCTCATCCTCCTTCCTCCCCCTCCTCCTCCTCCTCATGCTTCTCCTCCTCCTTCTTCTCCTCCCCATGGTCATCATCATCATCATCATCATCATCATCATCATCATCATCATCATCATCAGCATCAGCATCAGCATCAGCATCAGCATCAGCATCAGCATCATCATCATCATCATCATCATCATCATCATCATCATCATCGTCATCGTCATCGTCATCGTCATTGTCATCGTCATCATCAGCATCTTCATCATCCTCAAACTCAGCATCATCATCAGCATCATCAGTATCATCGTCATCATCATCATCATCATCATCATCATCATCATCATCATCTGCATCATCATTCTCATCACCATTGTCATCAGCATCATCATTTGCATCATCAGTATCATCACCATTCTCGACATAATCCTCATAGTCATCATCAGCATCGCCATCATCATTATACTAATCAGCATCATCATCATCATCATCAGCGTCATCATCATCAGCGTCATCATCATCATCATCAGCGTCATCATCATCATCATCATCATCATCATCATCATCATCATCATCATCATCATATCAGTTCTTCTCCCTCCCCCCTCCTCCATCCACATCCTCCTTTTCCTCCTCCTTCTCCTCCTACTCCGTCTCATCGTCCTCATCTGCCTCATTCTTCGTTCTCGTCCCTTCTCCTCCTCCTTGCTCCCTCATCCTCACTCCTCCTCCCTCCTCCCTCCTTCCTCATACAGCCGCCGTCCCGGCTCAGGGGCTTTGGGTGCAGCTACCCAGTAGCTGCGCGCCCCTCGGGACACCGGCAACGTGCAGGCCCACAGCCGCCATAGGCAGAGGGCTAGCCGTGCCTCGTCGCGGGCAGCGACGCTCCAGCGAGTGTTTGCAGCCCCAGCCGCAGGGCGCCAGGCGGCGCCTCGCGGTCAGCATTCGGTCACTACGCTCACCAGAGCCAGCTTGGCATCGTCGGGCCAGGGCGGCCCGCAGCCAAGCCCGTACACTATTCAGGGTCAGCGCAGCTCGGTCATTGCTTGCAGCTCATCACAGCGCCATGCCTGCAGACCCTCCAGCCAGTGTTCCACCATGGTCGACGCCCAGAGGAAACAATTGGACTTGCGGTCAATGCTGCGCTCCCAACTGGTCATCATCTCGCTGGTGTACGCGCTGCTTCCCCCAGCCGCGGGGTCGCCACAGGGGACGCTCCTTGCCGCGCAGACAGAGGTCATCGTCGGCGTCGAGAGCAGGTCAGTCTCAGTCAGATGCTACCCCCCCCAGCGCTGGCAGTGGACGTGCGCCCTCTACTCCACCAGCAGCCTCTCAGCCAATTTCTCTTACCATCCTGCCAGCGACTCCAGAGGTCGCCAAGGCCCACCCCAGCTGGGTGGACCCACCGGCTGGTACCAAGGAGCTGGCCGAACACCGAGGGCAAATCAAAGCCACCCTCCCGGCCTTGGAGACTCAGCTCATCCGCAAGAAAGCCTTGGCAGCCACTTCAGAGATGCTTCAGCCTCTGGAACTCGAATATGCAGTGTACATGTACATGCACATCCATGCTTTCTCAGCCCCCGATCGAGTGGGCAACCAGACGACGTATTTGGAGAGAGCTCAGAAGATATTGGCAGACGCACGTATGGCGGAGGAGGAAACGAAGTTAGCTATGACCAACGCTAGTGCTGCCAGAGAGGCAAACATATTCTCAGCCACTTCAAGGCCCTTCAATTGCAGGAGGAGCAGACGGCAGAGGCAGCAGCAGCAGCGGCAGCAGCTCGAGCTTTGACTACACCAAGCATGCCCAAACGAGTTCATGTTGCCGCCGACAACATGGAGGTCGATTCAGGCGGTGCCACATCGGCCCCGCATGCTCGTTCGCCTACGGCCACGCCCTCTTCTCCAGCTTCTGGCCAGCCCGTTGCGGTGCCCAGGATCATTGCGGAGTTGCAGTCGGGTCAGGCGCAACTCACATCACAAATGGATATGCTCAGCCAGGCGCTCATGTCAATTCAACAGTCATTGACTACCTTGACTACGGCCAGTTCTCCATCTCTTGCAGCGCCGTCACAGTCGCCACGCTCGTCACAGGAAGCCATCCTGCTGGAGGCCGCAGCTGCTCGCGCTGGGTCCAACAGCTCAGCAGGAGACAGTTTACCCGACCTCAGCCCTTCATAACTGGCAGCACTACGCTCAAGCACGGGAGCTTCTTCTGTGAGAAACAAGTCCCCAGCTTGGCAGCATGCAGTTGGACATATGCCTGGGCAGCAGCAGTTACCCAACGTATTCCAGCAGGTTCAGCAAAAGGGATCAGCCCGCATGGCAGCATACATTCACGACGACGAAGCACCTCACAAGTCCCAGGCCATCGCCGAGGACTCGCCAGCAGCACCAGAAGATGCTCAGGGATAACGACCTTTCCCAGCCCCAGCTGGCTCCAGCGCCAGGTACACCTATTTCCCATTCGGTGGAACCCATCAAAGCTTGCAAGTTCAGTCCCTTACCTGAGGGCTCTGAGTTTCTCAGCAACTTGTTTACCCCATGGGAATTTCAGCGATCCAGGGATCTGCTCCGCATAGGTGCTTTTCTTCATTCCTCCACGGTCCAGGCTATGCCTACTTTATCTTCACTTGAGGACATGTCGTCATAGAGGAGCTTACAATTATACGTCGACGGCTCTGGCAGCCGTCAATCCCACCTACACGGCTCCAGCGACTCATCGGGTACAGGATTACCTAGTTGGGCATTTGTGGTTCTGGTTACGGATGTCTTGGGAGCTACGGCGCCCATGGGATTCGCGGCTAACGTGTATGACCCAGGGGGCCACACTCCAGAGCACTTCTCGTTTCTCGGGGAGCTCTACGCGGCCCAATGGACCACGGCTTGGATTATTCAATTAGGCGTGGATGTCTTGGGCAGTCTGGAAGCCCCCCTAT